GCGGGATTCAGAGCTAAAATACCATTCGAACACCTGTTGAGATGTCTTGTTAGATGGAGAACAACTGCATGTAGATGGACAACATTTGCACAATATTTAAATACACTATGGTCATTAACGTCTTCTTTTTAATGTTTTCTTTCATTTACGCCAACAGGGATGGGGGTTTTTTTTCAGTTTCCGACAGTACTATCGCCAGTTGGACTCGATGGTCACATTCACAAACATGTTGTTACGCCAGAGAGGACAATTGTATGTATAGATCGGTGTCCGTGTGTATTTAACTCCACGTCGAACCCGTGCGGTTTATGATCAAACCCTCAGTTACCTTCTGCTATGCATTTTCAGCCTATACACTATGCACCTGTCTTCTGCTACAACACAGAATGCTGCGGACTGCTTTAAAAAACCGAAACTGAGCAGCAAATCAACGAACGACGCTTTTTTTCCTGGCGTGTTCCAGATGCCAGGATCCCAGGATATGTTGCACTGTTAGCAGTTATGCTTGATTTTCTTGTTGTAAACGAATGTGCGTTCAACTACCAGTTCCATTCCTCTATCAAGCAAGGAATCCTAATAAAGCAAATAGCGGTGCTGATTGCCCGACTAAATTTAACAGCACTGCATTTCCGTAAACCAATTTTCGCCCTTATTTATTAAAAACAAGTATATTTGATTCACGACGTCTTGCGGCGGGTATCTCATGCTAGTGAGGGACAAGAAACAGCGCCAATGGATGGATGAGGAAGGGAGGTTTCATTCCAGCATGCTAAGAAAGAGCGACATCGAGCATAATTTAGTCAATAATGGGCCTGAATGAAGTGTGCCGGACGCTTGCAGTGAGCAGAGCTCATTATTCAGACTTTTCCTTTCGGACCTGTGTAGCAAAGACGTATCAAATGGGCGAGCTGCTCATCTTTTTTATAACAGCAGAAACTAAAACAGAGCTGCCAAAAAAACAAATTCCTCGAAACAGTCGTAAGAAAGCATAACAAGCTACATAGCACTGACTGAAACGAGCGATAGCAGGCCCAGCCACAGTCTATGCTCCGGAAAGGCATAGCATTCCAGTGCAATCGTACTTTTAAATTACAATTTTCCCAAATTTGCTTAAAAAATCCAGCCTGTGCAGTTTCTGTTTGGAATCGGTCTGCACCAGTCGGACGAAGCTACAAGTCCCAGCTGAACAAATGGTGCTTGATGAGCATATCACGAACGCCTTCTTTCAGCGGTTGATCAAATGAACTTCGAATTGTCTCCGGTCGCATCTGCGAAAGGACCTTAAAACAAATGCATGAGAACTTGGTTTTTTGGAAACGCTCTCTTCCCGCCTCAACTTTTCACCATCTTACTAAAACCACCGTATTTTTGTGGCACGAAAGTGGTAGTGGCATAGGCAGTGTCAAACTACGGAGAACGCTGCATTTCAGCAGCTCCTAAGCGTTACAGGACTGCACACAGCCTTGAACATCACCGATGTCCTTGAAGTATCAAACCGGATGGGCGCACTCGTCTTCTTAACACCAGTGTGTTAAAAAAATGAGAAAGCACAACGCCGAAAGCATTCCTCAGCGCTTAAAGCTTTGTCGAATGTGCGCCTGAAGGCATCGGACGAAATCTGTTGAGCAGGGAACATTCCTCGTTTTGTAGATGACCAGTGCGTGTCGCGTGCGAACGAATGGTACCCGTGAGAAGCAAAAGAGCCATTGAAGAACAGTATGTAAGCTCGCGTAATCGAAAGGTTAAATTATAGTTCCAGCCGGCTATAAACAGGACAGTTTGTGATTCATGTACCTTTTTCTTCCACATCGAATTCAGATTCTTCTTTTGCCTGGCAATACCTGCAACTTCGAAATCGACGCTCAAGTTGAATGAGAACTGTGCCAGCAGTCGCAACTCGCATTTAATCTGCAATTAATTCTTATTCAGGTAGACAAAGCAATGAGTGTGTGACTGTGTTTCAGAGTTCCTGGAAAAAGGGATTACGTTGCCCCCACAACTGTCTATGCTCTCGATTTTTCACAAAGCGTATTTACATGTGCTAATTTAATTCGAATCCTTGGCTGAAGAAACTAAAACACTGAGATCCTGTATCTCATTTACTGGCTACAAACTTGATATTGGCTTGCGACGACCTAAGAAAATAACAACTGGCCACAACTTCAAAAATTGGACAGCAAGAAGTCGCAAATCTGGCGGTTCAGAGAGTAAAGGAAAAAGGAGTTGAAATTAACCGTTCGTTGTCTCGTGAACTACAACCTCAAACTCAAATCCAGGCTTTTTCCGCAATCATACATCTAAAGAAGCTATTACAGCAATACTGAAACCTTTATTTAGTTTAATTTGACTCAATTTTAAAGCTTTATTTATTACAACTGTTTTTCGTCCAGTGAAGAAAAAGGCTTCTTCCAAATAAGAAAGCTGCGTTAGCTTTGGAAACTGAAATGCGGCTTTATTGAGGCACTACCTGCCTCCATATCGGCGAGCGCACGAATGACCACGAGTGATAATACTTCGTTCTGATCTGGTCCTGCTCCGGACAACTGCATAGCAATGCAAACCACAGATGGAGGCACTGCTCGCTAACTGCAAGAGCAACCAGCGAGCGGAATTTCACGTCCATTTGCGCACCCACTGCATTATGAGATTCGTTGATCAGTTTTACCGCCCGAAATAGTAGCTCCTCTGGCGTGAGCACCTGCAAACGATTTTTCCGTGGCATGCAAGCAAGCACTACGCAATGACAGCAAACGGCTGTCTTTCTCTTTGCCGTGATGACCAGTGAGTGGACACTTGCTGACCATAACGACAAAGACAGACAGTCGCCTACTGTCACAGCACAGTGCTGCTTGCATTCCACCACAAGGACAGCACAGTCTTCCGGAGCCGGTGTCTTCACGCTTCTCCCAAACGTTTGCACCAATTTTCATAGCAGTTACCAGGCCAACAAATAACAGTTATTGGAGCGAATACTCGCATTTTTTGACAGTCACGCTCGGCAAGTAGCTACTTCTCCGAGACACCCGAAACCTCATCCTGGTGGTCAAGAGACAATGCCATCTGAGCTCGGTACTGTTTTTCAATTTGCGGATAACTGAGCAACACCATATGATACATTTGTACCATTATGATGTCCCGACACTAGCAGTCCAAAAAGTAAAAAAAAAATTGCTCGTAAAACAACTGCAGTGTAGCAAAAACTGTACACAGGAAGAAAAAAAAAAACCTTTCCGTCCTGATCCAAGCTGAACGTGGTGCAGAGCGTTAAACGAGAATACACCGCATTATAATGCTTCTGCACAAAGCTCTGCGAGATCTCTTCTAAAATCCAAAGTAAACTTACAATTACAAAAATTCAGTAAAATTACAATAAAAAGTCACTCTGACGAACCGATAAACAGCCAAGGATGCGAAGCAAAATTCAAAACGCCGAATT